GATTTACATATTTTTTATATACAGGGTGATTTATTTTAATCTATGAATGTTAATATTTCAGAAACTACATACAGTGAATTCAAAAATCTGCTTCTAGGGGATTAAATGATGTGGAGGGGAACACTAGCATGCGTAAATGACAGTGATTTTTTCTTACAATGTGACAGAGTGCAACAAGACGAATTCAACGACGAAAAGTAAATGAATATTCCATTTGATGAAGTAACATAGACATTTATATAAATGTTTTTTAGTTATTTTTGTCAATTAACAGGTTAATAAATGGAGAGAAGTTTCAAACTTTTGTTGTGTAGTTTTGTAGTTTATCCTAAATGAATTATGAAACTCGTCAGAATAGTTCATACGTATCGGTATTATGTTACATACCATGTTTAAAATTAAAGTCTATTTGAATTAACTTAATTTGTAGTGAAAATATAACAAATAAGCTTGAATGTTGCAAATAATTTACGTACTGTTTTTTTATTTTGCTATTTAATATTCAGGAAAGGATACAAGTAAAATTGTTTTTCTTAACTTTTATTAGTAAATGAAAAATGAAAAATAATTTTTGACTTAATGATTAAAATTATAATTGTTTAATATTTTTAATAGTTAATAAACATATGAAGTTAAATAAACATAAGAAATGAATAGAAAGTAGTTAAGCCCTTAACTGATTTCTTTTCTTATATGCATATGTTGCGTGGGTTCTTGGGGAATTTGTGCACGTGGAACGCCAAAGCACTTAGGAACGCGATTGTTTAGAAAAATTAATGAATACGGAAAATTTAATGTTGAAACTTTTGATTTACTAATAAATAACTGGATTGGAACAAGAATTTATGAAATGTTTAACTATAACTTTATTACGTCTGAGCTCTTTGAACGACGAAAATGGAATGAATCATTAGGCATCGTTGTTTCTTCATTGCCCTCCCCCCATCCTTTGTCTTACAAAAGTCTCCAATCAAATCAAAGGTTCCACACACGTGTTCTCGAGGATGGCTCAGATTGGTTCTCATTATTAGCTTTGGCGCGCTTTTACATTCACACTACGGGGCGCCACATGATACCAGATTCTGACCGCTCTAAAGCTATATTCACGTTCGTACACGACGAGACGTTAAAGCTATGTTCAAGCGACAACGCAAAACATATAAGCGTCAGCCATTTAACGTTTTAATACTGTATCAGGTAACAAAAGCTAATCTGTTACAGATTAATTACATTTAGGAATCCTTAATCTTATAAATTAAAACGAAAGTTAGGGTTGCAATTAATTTTTCTTAGTAATCTAACTATTTTTGTTACATCGTGACCAGAATCTCTGCCACGAGTCTGACACGTTGTGGTAGGTTAAAGGGTTAAAAAGCATAAGAAATGAAAAAAACAAAATATATTGGGAGATAAAAAAGTAACATTTATTATAAAATTATGACATAAAATAAATGCAGAAGATACAAGTGAAGAAGGAAAGCAATTAATAAGGAATATTCATATCAGGTTGGTCTTTGTGATAAATAAGTATATCTTTGAACATCATGTTAGGTCCGTCATAGTTGAAGCCATCGAGAGGCTTGTCTAGGGGGAAACCAAATGGTCTATTGTCAAATTTGTAATTACCCCATATTCTTGAATTGTATTTGTTCATCGAAGTGACTGGACTAACATGTAAGAATAATTGGAATGGCATTCCTTCCTTTTTACCCTTAGGTAACAACAGTCTTTCTGGGAATCCAAAGATTCTCTCACTATATGTGAATTCACTATTTCCTTCAAGATTCTTCAAAAGTTTCTTATAGAATATTTCATTTGGTTCTTGGTCAGGCATCAAGAAGAAGCAGTCTCTACTATTACGTACAATTTTGTTCAGGCCAGCATTCACTATTGAAAATTTGTAACACATTGCATTAGATACATGCTTAAATATTGGTTATATAAAAGTATCAAAAACTGTATACCTAATTTTTATAATGAATTACGGAAATATTTTAAGGTGGAAAATTCAAATTATATTGTATTGTTTAGTATAATTGGATTAGTATTTGAATTGAAAGTTAATATAATAATAAATAAATATTTACCATCAATAATCCAGTTGTCAATTTCATAGAAATATTTAAGATTCTCTGGAAGTTCAATTAATTTGCGATGTGAGTCATATTTGGGTCCAAGGAAAATTCTGATAGCTGCTTTCATTGGTTTATCAGAATTAAGAGCAATGTGGAAGTTGAATGCATTGTTATTGAGGCGATCCTGTCTAATTTTAATTAATAAGGAATCAGCTTCTTTTTGATTCTCTACTAATAAGCTATTGCCAATGGATGTGTCAAAATATTCAAAGAATGTAGTCATTTTATCAACAGTGAAAGATTCAATCTTCAGATTGGGATACATAATTTCATCCCTAATGTATGGTTTCTGCTTCATTTTGTACCTATAAACAAATATTGAATTACATCAATCAAAATTATTGTTTAAGCAGATTAAGTGAACAAATACTTTAATTTAAAAAAAGTAATGTTATCTTTATCATTAATAATTTTAAATAATATGCTGCATATTTATTTTATGCATATTTTATACCTTAAATTTATTATCCATTTAGATGATATTTTAAGAGTAAATAAATAAAAATTAAAAATCACAAAGACAAATGTCTAAAACAAAGAATTGACTGGAGTTAAGATTGCTTACCTGTAATAAAAGCTACATATTCTTCTGTAAAGACGATAGAAAGCAGGGTCTCTCATAGAAGTGGAAAAAGTTTCCAAAGCACTAGGAAGGATTTGATACTTGTTTGCTGGTTCTAGATTGTAACCAAGTATATTTCTGCCGAGGGCATCAATGCTACCGTAGAATTGACGGTTCGGGGAGTCTGCGTTACCTTCGATTATGTTTCCAAGAACGTTTACACCTGTTTCATTGTAAATGTTGTACCACTTGCTGTCATTATTTAAAATATAGCCAGAATCAATTGCAGCAGTTATTCTTGATTCTTTGTCCATAATGTCCTTTAATGAATTAAATTATATTAATAAATTAAGTTATAGTTTTCAAAGGAAGGATTTAATGTTTTATTATTGAAAAAGAAGAAGTACAATAATGTTTCAATAATTCATAGGAATAAGAAGTGTTAAATTTGTATTATCCTATGATGAAATTTGATTCAAATCTCTGATATAATTTATTGGACTAGGAAAAACTTTAGTTCTTATAATAATGAAAATTAAGTTAATGATTTTAGAGACATTAATTTCAATACTTGATCTAGTAATTTATATTTTCTTAATTTTTTCTAAAATGACTGTTTCAAATGATATTAATTTTACTAAATACTAATATTAAAAGACTTCTTCAATATCTCCCCAAAATACTTGTATGCAGAAAGGAAATGTGTATTGATAGGATTTCAGCTTGATTTTCATTCTTAAAAATTGTAAAAGAGAATTGGTCAACCAGATTACCAAAAAATTATATAACTGTTAATAATAGTAACTATCACTTACCTTGATGTATTTGTATTTGTAGATAGGCAATTTGACCCAGTCTGGTCTTTGAGGGAATGGTAATCCATTGTGATAAGTCATGGTAGGATAGTAACCTGCGTAGAATGGCTGTTGCCAATCGAAGTCCTCGAGTTTAGGCAAATCGTTCGAAAGTCTTTCGAGATAGTATCTGTTCATCAATTGTTTGTGACCATAAAGGTATTCCTCTCCGCGGTAATCTGGCAAATTGAATTCCTTGGATTCCATCCAGAATGGGAATCCATGGCGGAAGAAGAAATAGTAAGAATTCAGGCCAACATCCTCTGTGAAGTAATTCAGCCTGTTCTCCAAGTTGAACTCGCGGTTAACGTACCAGCCGGAATAATTCGCTGAGATTATGTACGATTTGAATCCTTCAGGTGCTTGTGGATCTGGAATGAATATTTTCTCGATATTAGTAAACAATATCGACAGCTTGTTATGGGATTAAAAGCTAAAAACTAAGCCAAGTTTATTCATTTGAATTTATTTGGATAATCTATGTAAACATCATTATAAAGTAATAACATTTAATAAAAATTAAAAATTATTCTAATTTGTTGAAAAAGAAAATAGTGAGCAGCCTTACACATTCGTGCCAGAAACTTTAAATGCATTTTTCTCGAAGCCACGTTTTCTTTTCAGTAAAACTCAAGTGATTTTTGTAAAATTTTGCGCACATATTCTTACAGACATTTTATATTGTAATTTTTACTCGAGTTATATATAATTAAGTGGCTACATTTCCGCGTAGAAAGTTAAATTTTCTCTTTGAAATGTTACCATTTGATTATTTTTCAAGTACACAAAAACCTCCTACGTCAGCTGGTAGATAATTTAGTATTATTTAATACTCCATCACGCAAATTTGCTTTTAAGAACCTGTTCATTATGAATAAGGTAAGGTACAGCATTCAACGATATGCCTCGTGGCATGCTCTCGATTTCAACATTCTTTTAAAAATAAAAAGTGAAGAAAGATTCCTATATATTATTTATACATGCCTTTATCATTAAGAAAAAAATTCTTTCTAAGAGAAATTGGTTTTTGTTACTTTAAAATAAATTCTCAAAGAAACAGCATTTTTTAGATAGGCCAAGGTAGTCTAATCTTTTAATGTAACTCTGGTGTACTAATCATCCAGGAGTTTTCTTAACAGCACGATGAAAATAAAGAAGAGGGAATGATAATTACCCAGTTTGCCAAAAACTTTCGGATGGTGGGCTTTCTCGAGCACTTCCGAGTTGAAGAAGAAGTAGGGGTACATTTCGGATGGGGGTGGCAGTTGAATGTACACGGTATCCGGTCTTCTGATCACCGCGTTGTACAGGGCAAGAAAGAATTGGCCTTCGTTTATGTTGTTTCTCGCCCAGAGAGCTGTCTTATAGAAAACGTCGAAATCGTTTGCATAGTAGAACAGCCTGAACAAAGCTTTCATTTCTTTAAGCATTTTTGAGTAATAGGTCGAGAACAATTCTCCTCGGGGAAGCATTCCATTTTTGTACATGTAGAGGAAATCCTTCACGGCAAGCTGGAAGTTAAGATAACGATGTGAAGAAAAATAGCTCGAAGTTACATTATTTCAAGGTGTCACAGACGCATATTCAATTATTATTTCGTCCAAATGTCCAACTTTTATAAAAAAGAGTAATAAAATGGAAAAATGTCATAGATAGCCAAAAAACGTATTTTAATTATGAAAAGATATAGCATATTTTCACATTCGAAATGAATCACCTTTTCCACTCACTTCATAGTTGAGTAAATATGATTATACTTAATTGAAACAAATATCGAATGTGTCTCGAGTCACAAAGTGGTGTATTTTTTTTTTTTATATTCTAGAACACTGATTTTCAATCGATGTGTCGCGAGAGGTCCACAGGTGTGTCCAAGATTTTTTAATACAAGTTAAGAAAGTCAAAGAGGTAACGGAAATCAGTAAGTTAGAAATGAATACTCTTTTTTTTATCAGATCGGAGAAAACATATAATATGTTTTTTGGTGTGCCGTAGAATTTTAGTAATTAGCTTATGTGTGCTGTGAGATAAAAAAAGGTTAAAAATCGCTGTTCTAAAAGATACTTATTCTATTTATCAAATCGATCATATTTCAATAAAGATGATATTTGCTGGAAAAATTGGCGATTTTTCTAATTTCTCTTAAAGAAATCATACAGTGCTTTGATTTGCAGTAATTGTATTAGGCTCATTTTCTATACGGTTATCATTATTGAAGCTTTCTTGTTGATTAATCAAAGTGACTTTAAATCTACAGGCTTGTTTTTGTAACACGTATCAGAGTGATTGATAAAATATAGTAATCGCACCGAAGGACAAAAATCAATTTTCAAAAACATTGGTCAATTTCAAATTTTTAACGTAAAAGAAACAGTAAAATATACTGTTATAATTCTAATAAGAACTGTAACGAAAAATTTCAAGTTAATTGATCCATTGCTCCTTCAGATATCGTGGCAGTGTCAATTTTGAAACATAATTTAAAATTACACATTCAAATCTTCATAACGTTATTTATTTTTCACAATTTGGTGTACCAAATCTTATGAATCTTACTCTAAATACGGCACACTTATAGAATGTATGTATAAAGAAACAAGCGACTAACCCCTCAATTGCTCTTAGTTTTAACTCTTGCTAGTTATAACTACTATTCAATCGTAAATTTGCTTGTATTTACATTTACTGTAGCACTGAAAATTTTGTCCAATACAATTCAGGGGGTACTCATTCGAATTTTTTTCTCTTTTATTTTCCATTAATGTGAAGGTTCTAGAGTATTCTGGTAAAAGAATTTTGGAGAAATTACAAATATTAATAAAGTTACGCAGGTTTGAAGTGAAGTGTGCAGGTAGGAAAAGTGATCGCTGTACAAATTGCATGGAAAATTTTAAACGTTTTTTCCTCGAAACTATGTTTTCCAAACTGGTTGACATGACTTTTTCGAAACTAATAAGTCGATTAACTTCAAATTATATATACCTTTGTTTGTCGTCCCTATTAGAATTATAAAAATACCAACAATATTTCTATATCTTACAACAGATTAAACTAAAAATATTTTGTTTAAAATGAAATTTTTTCCTTCAATTGATCGCCATTTTTTTTCCCCTCTTCGATTTCGATGAATGATCGAGATAGGGATACTAGAGGCAAGTTTACTGATTAATATAAAAGTAGATATTCCTATTTCTGATGATTACAACGAACGTAATCATGTGAACCGTGATGAAGGAGGAATTTTTAGAATTTGACCGCACATTAATACATCTATCCTCGGTAAATATTTCTCACTGTTTAATGTACTGCCGTGAAAATGTTAGCAAAGTATTGACAAACCAATGTACAAAACATAAATGATGTAGGCCTTTCGGTATGGAAGAAAGAAATTCACAAAGACTGTCCATTTTTCGTACGCTTTCGGACATGCGTTTCTCACGAAATTAATAGAAATTATTAGGTGTAGAAGTGAATTCTTTCCGACTTTCGGGTTATAATCAAAGTTGTATTTAAAAAGAATGAAAACAGATCAATTATCCAAATAATTTCCATTACCGTTGATGACCTACTACCATTTTTCTGGCAGCTTGTGTATACCATCGCGATAGAAACTCGATGGCTTTGAATCAATTACGTGAATCCAGTCGGAAAGAATTCATTTCTACACCTAATTCAATGTAAACGTTGAATTTGGTCGAAACTTCCACGCCAGTGAAAGCGATCATTTTAATTACTGACCGTATTGGCGTACGAATTGATGTTGGCTTCGATGCTCCATTCTTGACCTTCGTCGTACAGCGGACGGTTCACTATATCAGGTTGGCCGACGTGATAAAGCAGGTTGTAGATTTTCTTCTGACGCAGCGCGAACTCATTGTCGGCTGTTTTAATGTTGTAATAATCCGCGCTGGCCAAGCCGCAGGCCAGCAGCCCCAGCAGACACAGCCGCGTGAGTAGAATCATATTTTTGAAAGTTTAAAACCAGGGGATCCCTAAGCGCGGATGCTTCGCTCGCAGCCACTCTTATACTCCGCCAAATCCCCTCCAACGATTCTTGCTTCTTTATGCTTGGTTTGATAGTTTAGATTCTCAAGCCTCAATAATTGAAATTTACGTCTCTGCTCGAAGGAGCAGAGAAAAGTGCATTTTAATATCGTCGCAGAATCGACTTGTCTGGGCCAAGTGTTATTTCCTTCGAATGGGCAGAGCCGCATTTAGGACACTTTTGGAGGCCTTAGGTGCAACTTCATTACGAAGCCTCAAAAGAGCAAGTTTGTTTCAGTCAATCGAATTCACATACATTTTTCTTTCATTTGTTGAAAATAAACGTCATTTTAATGAAATAAAAATAGCACAACATTGGTAATCATATATTTGCATTAAAAGAAAAGTATAAAATTAAACCAGTTCAAATTTCAATTGAAAAGTATTAGTAACTGAAAGTTGTTTTTATATTGGGGATTTAATATTTTAAATTAAGTATACTATTTTGCTAGGCTGTTTTTTATATTGTTGTTTGTGAGGTTTTAAAATGTGGCCCCGTAGAGAGCGAGGCCCCAGCTTACGCCTAATGCGCCTTATGGTAAATGCGACTCTGCGAATGGGCATAAGTTGCATCGAAATAAATATTCCGAAATTTGTACTTTTATTTTGATGAAAAAAGGACCGTCGCGGTCTGCTGTTGGTTTCGGCAGTGTATAAATTTCATTGAGATACATTTTCTTGAACTGTTCGTAACTGGAATATGCATCTTTGTAAAAAGACTGCATTTTCAGTCTGGATGAAGATATTCAGTTCAAGACAGCATAAATCATGTATAAGAAAATTTTCTTGAGTCTTTGTAATTTAAATTTGTACTTCTATTCGGCGAGAAAAGAAACTATGCCTTGATTTGCTGCAAAGAAAAAAAAAAAATGGTTTCAGCTGAGCTATTAATTTCGATAGAGCTTAAAAGTAAGCTTAAGTTGCACAAAAGTAAATATAGGATTGAAGTTGTTTTTCTGCTTACAGAAGGTTCCATTTTGATCACATTTCATGGGTTGGTCGAATTTTATTTCGCGAAGGAAAATTACGCTCAATTTGACATAAGCGGAATTAAAAAGAAATGAAACAATTGCAGATAAATTAATCGAAGAGTAAACTTTTGAATGATATATAATCTGTAAAACTGGAGGAAAGCTGTTACACTGTAAAAGTCTTTGACACATTTAAAGATATCGTAACTTTTCTGTTTCTTCATTTTTTTCAATTTTCTCTTTGATATTTTTTCCACTAAACGACATCATTTTCTCCACTTAACGGAAGAAAATCTTGATCCGTAAAACTTTAGTCGCGCGTCTTAATTTTTTCTCCTCTTCCTCTTTTACTGTTCGATTAATAGAAAAAGCAAAAGTGTTGGAAACTTTTGCGCCGTTCTATAGCCCCTACTTGCAACAAGCCAACATTGTGTCGCGATGCAACAGGATTGCGCTGTATTGCGTGTAGATGCTTTAATTGTTCGTCGTGTTTGTATTATTATTGAAATGTGCAGTTAGAGTTGACCATTCAAAATGGCAAAATCATTCGGTATCATATACAGGATGTAATCTAATATGTGCAAAACAGTTTAGAAATTGACTCAGCACTTGAAAACAATAGAATAAGTTCATGTGAATATGTGGTCAACTTGACCTCCTTTCCAATTTATTGAGAGTTTTGCGAATTCTTAAACGACCATTGGGCTAAAAATTTGATAAAAGTATCGAAGTTTATATATCTGTTTATGAATAATACTCCACATGTTACATGTACGACCATGTTAACTACTCTGTAACCAGTACGTGATGATCCGATTAAATGTAACACGTTGGAGGTAATTGAAAATAAGGAAACAAATAGAAAATAATGACTAATTTTAAAGAATAAATTATATTACGTGTAAATATTAACTGTGGAAATAATAAGAAACAAAAAATGGTAGTAACATTTTATACACAGTATGTTTCTTCGATTCAACAATGATTTAGGTTTATCAGAAAAATAAACTTCTTTATGTAAGAACTCTACTATTTCATTTTATGTATTTTTTACCTCTCTATAGATGAATTTTGAGTGTTTTGTTACTTGCAATCCATGAGTAATTCTTTAATAGTTGGCCTTGTCGCGAAATGTTTCAATAAGTATCAATTATACATTTTTTGTTGCCACTGGTTAATATAAATTTTTTCAACGTTACGTTTTATTTTTGCAATCTTTATTGTAAATTATTAATGCCTTTTTCAATGACCTTACCAATATATCGCGTACCATCACGAAAGATTTAGATGCAGAATTTTGCGACAATCGTGTCTGTTTATAATAAAAATTCGATCGAAGAGTCACCGTTCTATCTTGAACCACGTTAAAAACGATTTTTCTTATCAATATTTTGTTCATTTAAACGCAAATATCGGCGCAGTCTCGAAATCTGTTTTGACATTTTGACATCGACATGTACGTAGACGAAGCGAGAGTTCCGTTTTGTCAATTACGCAACACGAGTACATGAAAAATAAACAAACATTACGATGTTACCGTTTCACGACTCGATATAAGTACGAAGTAACTTTTGACAATTTTATTTTACTACACCGATTCTATTGGTGATTTCGAACCATTAAAGAATAACGGTGGCGAAAATATTTAATTTCATTTTTTTATTTGATAGTCAAACTTGAATACAACGTAGCACAAGGTACTCATAATAGTAAAAGATCGGACAACGTCCTGCTGATCTAAAAAATTCAGATCACGAGACATGAACGTTAAAAATGAATCACGTGGACAATCAGAAGAACCTATCAATAACTTGTTATTATTTCGAGATTTTAATTAAATCACTTTGTATACAAATGAAGTTATAGTGTAATTATACCAGGTGCGGCAATAGAATGTAACGATTTTCAAAGAGCTATTGTGGGCTACTCAGGTTAAAATGAAATAAAACACTTCTATTTCAAAAAATAGTCATTATGCAGTTTGTTAACTGTTCAATGATATTTTTCCAAGCAGCTATATTGTTTCGTTTTAACTCTGCGATAGTGCGTGGTTTTTTCATATAATGATTAATATTGCGATTATGAAAATTAATAAATTACATTATACAGCTATATTTTAAATAAAAGTGTTTTATTTCAATTTAATCTGAATATGCCATAATAGTTCTTTCCAAATCGTAACATTCTATTGCTGCACCCATTACAATAGTTTTCTGTCATCTGCAAGCTATAGGAAACACTGTAAAAATGAATGAAATAAGCCTAATGGTATACCCTTCCATCTTCACACAAAATAAGAATGATCCATTTTTACATAGGGATGTAACTCGAGATGAGAAGTGTTTTAAATCGATGTACAGTGTTTATGCACTTATATGTTGAAATATGGAAATATAATCTTGGAACATGTGCAGAAACTATCTGGGATATGTAATAAGTAATATTAAAAAAATGCCATAATAATAGAACCTTTATGATTCAAACATTCAAATCATAATAACCATTTTTTCCATATTAGCTGTAGTTCATTGATGACGTTTATCAATTAAAATTAACGTGTAAGCAGAAAATATGTGTTTTTAAATATGTAGGCTGTTTTTTATTTGGAGCAGAAAAGAAAAAGAAGTGAAAGCATGGTAGAAGACATATTTGAGTAGTTCCTCAGAACCTGATATACCATATATCACTATCGAATTTTGTAATAAAGGTATAAGTGACATACTTTGATTAATAAATATTCTTTTCAATGGAATTATAAATGTTGAAAGTCGTTTGCATTTAATACTTAACTCGCGTTCCTGTGTTGAAATTTTAGTATTCAGTAGGCAATTTGGGAAGAAAAAATTGTAAAGTATACATCATGTGCATGCATCTACACTTCTAAGGATAAAATTAGGGTAAGGGACGATGCAATTCTTCTCTCCCTCTCCTCTCTCTTGTATGTGTGTGTGATATAAAGAAATAACTCTGAGTCGCGATAGGGACGGAGCTAAAGAAAATTATTAGTTACTCTTAGATATTAAATTATTAGGTCATCCCATAAGTTCGTGACGAGAGCGAAAAACATTTTAATGAAAATCCAAGGAAATTCTATAGCGACGACATAATGATCTTACCAAAAAAAAAAAAAATAGGAAAAAGTTGTGGAACGAGAAGGGGCTTACGTTTTTTTTTTAATTAAATTTAGAGATTTGTTGGAAATATTGATCTAAATTATAATATTCGACACGAACTTATGGGATGACATAATACTTGGAAAATTCGTAAAGGTATAATATACTTACTTGATATAGCGTTACGTGAAGCACGACTTCTTTTTTTAACAATAAAAATGCTTGTTAGTAAAGTGTTATAATGCTTTATTGAAATGCTTGTTAACAAAGGTTTATCTTAAGAAAATGGTACACATTACGAGGCGCGATTGCACAGCAATTAAACCTTTTTTTTTTTTCAACGTTCTCGACAGTCTATCTGTCCTCCAGAAAAGCACGTCATACATATGTGAAATTCATGGAATCGAGTAGTAGTTTTTATTCGAAGTGATCGGAGCGTGGGAACAGTGTCGAAATGATATTTGCAAATTTAACATTGATTATTGTTGCGTTTATTAATATCTATATGCATATTTGGAAAGAGAGGATTTCTTCAGCTATAAAGTGAGCACAACAACAAAATATATAAAATATCGAGTGTTGTGTCGCGATAGCAAGCTAAAATTTTGCACAATTTAGTTTCCCCTGACTATCAACAGATATTGTAATTCTCGTGGGTTTCGATGTAGTATTTGGTGGACAAGATTGGCCTTACCTCGATCAGTCTGTAAAAGTGTTTGTATATGTTTTCTCGGTTAATCGTGTCTCATGACAAACGCGAGACATAAATGTGTAAAAACACGCCTATCGTCGGTTGATTATAGTTATCAAGCGAAACACTTGCTCTCACTCGAGATCATTGTAGCTTTCCTTCCCTTGTTATTAGTTTGTACAGTTCGTTAATAATTCACGTAGATACTATTGTCTAGACGATAATTCAATGTGATTTATGCCGGAAATGAAATCCTCTTGTCTGAACAGCTGTTGTTTTGTCGTACGAAACGGACGTTTGATAGTTTCGCCTTTTAACGACAATTTAAATATCTCGGTAATTCTGCTAATGACTCTTTACATCTCATATCTCACTCTTAATGGCACTGTAACTCGATAGAATTTCAGGGGATGGTATATAGTGTAATTCGATGTCTTTTTTTTTTTTTTCTTCTTTAAGTAATACACGGCGATGCAGAAGTCTTCGATATTTTCTTTTTTTTTTTTTTTGTTAACAAATCGAAGATTAAAAACGCTGAATGGAAAATTAAAACGTAGATTTAAAGTTTTATGCATTGAAGTTTTCTTCATTTAAGCGCGGAAGATTATGGTACTAATGAGAATAATAAAAACAAAAAGAGAATTAAAAACTATTAAAGAAAAGAGAGATATATCTATGTCTACTTTTCCTTGCCTCGAGATATTTAAATACTTACGTATTTCTTCGATCTGCTTGAAAATATTGTTTTTCTTATTGTAACACGATTAAAAGGAAAAACTAATTAGCTTGATATTGAAATATAATTAAAGGGTAAACACTATTTGCTCATATTCTTTCTATTGTTTATTTCAAAACATTTGTGCAATATTGTTTGACAATCTGATTTCTATTGATCTAGAGCTGTCGTAATTTCAACATTATCTATAATAAAAACAATCCATCGGTAGATAATTAAAAATGGCTTCAATTAATTGTTTTTTCTTTATTGCTAAATATAAAAAGCAACTTATTCAGTGATTAAGGGATATTTCTAATTACCCGAGTAAAAACTTTTGGTTCGTTTCGATTTTGACACGCCTTTTGATCAGTGAATTTGTTTACTCGTGGTACATTTAATCATGTCTTCCCAAATGATTAGGGTTAGAATGTTTACTTATGCACTTAATTAATCGTAATGATAATTTTTTCTGTTGTCAAAGTTTCTCGGTGATAACGTTTTTGTTCGCTTTTGACTTAAGTAGAAATATTTTATATCATAATATGTAAATACTAATTTTTAGTTTTAATATTATCGTTTGTATCATTCTTTCGTTTCAAGAATATTTATAAAATAATAAAAACTGTAACGTTTCATTTTTAGTAATGTTTTTATATTTTCCGTACTATCTCGTTTATACATTTTCCTAGAAACACGCCCTTTTCCTTTTCTTATTATGCAAGCGTTTTATTATGTAAGCCATTAGAGTCAATGGACTCTGATTTCGATATCATATAACAATAGAACGAATTACTGCTTGTATGTCTTTCCTGTTTCCAAGTAAGCATGCAACTATTTAGTTAGTGTCTAGTAATATTTTTAGAGACTTATACCCATTCAAATTTTTTTTCTTAATCAAATTTCCATTTTTCCTGATTCATTTATTATACTGAATTAACATGTAAAATTAAGAAAATATTTAATTATTTTTCTTTTTCTTTTCAACGCAAGCACTATTTTAATATCACCAAATTAAAAATATTTTTTGAAAGCATAACTGTAGGGAACGAGCAAAAGGAAAACGAAGGTCGAAAAATTACTGTTTAACCCTTTGTACTCGAAGATCTTTTTGCTACAGGGAAGCAGCAAATCTTGCTACTTACTTGTGCTAAAAAATTGATGAAATTTTTTTAAAAATAATAGAAATAAATCACACATACGTTGACAAATATATTTTAATTACGATACATTTCAATAGAAGTTGGTTCTTTCGAACTGTTTCACTGCTTAGACATATACGAGAGGCCCATAGACCTGTTGTTCCGTAAAATATCAGCTTTAACCCTTTGCGGTCCAAATAGTCCAGTTAGTCCTTACTCATTTGCTCACTCTCGGGTAATACCGTGTAGTTTCCCTTTATTTCAATATTTCAACGTAATATTAGTTATAAAATACTAACTTTCAGTATAATATTAATGCATAAAAAAATGGTTTATTATAATTTATAATTTATCGTTATACGACATCTGAAGGCAACAATTCTTACGTCGAGTCTGACTCGACATAGGACTGCAAAGGGTTAAAAGGGCCTCAATTAATTATTTACCAAATGGTAAACAATAATGTCGCTCCTCGGTCACCACTCGAGTGCAAAGGGTTAATAATGTATTTAAATTAATTATTTAAACATTATAACAATTATTTATTTAGAAGAAGAATATTTGGAAACCTTATAATATTTAATAAAACGTGATAAAATATCATTTTGCTTTTCTATTATATTTTTCACATCCTCAGAAAATATTAATATCGTTACAATATTTTTGAACGAATTAAAGTAGTCTCTTTTATACAATGTAGAGCAATTTATCGAATAATTTACTGCTTTTGACATTTAATTAGATGTATTACAAAATGAGTATGTGTAGTTTTTTACATACTTTCGATTTGTACATATGTCGTCCATAAGTCATGGGACACCAGACCGTTTTACAGATTTAGTTACTTATTTGTTGTAAACAAATTCGATCCCCGGTAACGAATGTTTTATGGTCCCGAGTGTTTTTGGGACCTATTGTCTGAGTGTCGCGCTGGTGCGTCCACGGGGGGTATATTGCGGTCTTCCGAACGTCGGCACCTCGGTCTGGCGGCCAAATGTGACTTCAGAGACTTCGTTGCGTCCTAATCAGGTCGCAACAGATATTATAACCGAGTAACTATATTTTGATCAGTGGTTTGACAACTTTTTCCAGATTCCTACTGTTTATCGCGTAAATATTTGTAACATTTCCACAGTGGACAATTATTATAGTGTACATAGTAGTTGATAAATACACCGCGTAAAGCAAATATCTATACCTACGACGACTTTTTTCACATAAAATAAATTTCACCGACGCTTAACCCCTTCGCTACGGTAGATTTTAATACGAAACGCGCGTCACGACGGTTCAATCACAGCCGCAAAATCTTTTGCTTCGGTCGCGTCGTTTTAAAATTTCTTTGAAATTAAATCAATGTGAAAGTGATTATGGTAAAAGTGTACCAAAAGGGGCATTCTCTCAGGGTAGTGCAACAATAAAAATTCGCTAGTATAATTTTTATACAATTTTATTTTCATTTTTGTCTACATCTCTTTTTTCCTCGTTAACACGTTCGCTGCCACTGTACATTGAACCAGCGTACTACTGATTTTCTAACGACAGTGAACGTGTTAAAGATTCTAGAATTCTACGGTAACTAATAAGTTAAAAACAGAAATTCTTCGTTTGAAGTGTTCAAAGAGGAATGTTCAAATCTCTCATCGCCTTGTGATAAATCATCACATCTGAGGTGTGTATGTTAGGGACGTCAAATTGTTGATTATTGACTGGTCTGTCCAGAGGGAAGCCCATGGCCCGTCCGTCGTGGGTGAAACGGCCCCATATGGGAGACTCTCCGTACATGGATGTGGTGGTGGACTCTTCGATTGGCGAGACCACTACCAATAATTTGTACTGCATACCCTCCTTCTTACCCTTTGGTAGCAGAAGTCTCTCAGGCAAACCGTAAGGCTGTGTAGAGTACTTAATGGTCTCGGTACCCTCAATGGCTGACACAATCTTCTTGTAGAACACGTCACTGGGAACTTCATCTGGCACGACGAATTGCGAATCGTGGCTGCTTCTGTCGATGGTGTTGCTTCCGGTCTTCACTGTAGCACGAATTATTCAAATTAATTAGAACAGTCGAATTATTCGTCTTTGTAGATATTTTTCTTCTAAATGTTCGATCAATTCTGTTGCCACTGCATTAATTTGATACGAATAGAGTTCAATTGTGTTACCTAATTTTGTTTCGTTCATTATAGAATAGGTTCATTATTGAAAATCTTGAAGACTTGAATCGACCGCGAATTCCATTGAGCAAATTGTTAAAAATGATACAACGTCAGTTTTGTGGAAATTTCTCTGAATTTACAAAGGGATTTTTCTACTATTGAGTGGAGAAAAGAAATGAAGATGAACGAATGTAAGAATGTTCAATGGCGAGAAAATGTTAAAAAGCGTTTCACTGATTCCTCTTCTAACAAAAACAAAAATTGAAGATGGTGCAAAACGTCTAACGAATCATTTTGTAAACTTCTCGTTACAGAAACAAAAAGAACGTTATCATAAGTACAAGTTAACGTTATGTTACAGTACAAATTTGAAATTACAAAAAAAAAGAAACAGGTGTCCTTGGAGAAAACCAAAAAAATGGCATTTATAGAAAAGATTTTCCCTCATATTATACTCCCTTTGAAACCATTTAAATTAGCTAGAGAAGATAATTAGGTGGCCTGTTTCACCCTGTATATACAACTTCTAACCTGAGTTTAATCGTCCCTATTCTAACTCACGGATCTCCTCCTAGGTAGCCTTACTGGCGAGTCCATTAGGAGGCCCAGGAGGAAATTCATTTTTCTTTCTCTTTTCCGCTTATTTCCTCCTTCCATAACTAAACGTCATAGTAGTTTATTCCTAACAGCCGCTATAGCGGCCGAGTTACTAAACAGCGAAAGAGTTAAACGAAAGATATACGTACGGTCGGCTACCCATTCGTCTAATTGCACGTAGTTGATGTAGGTATGCTCGAAGTTAAGCTCACGGCCGAACTCGTCGCATTTTGGACCCAAGAAGATGCGTAACATCGCCTTGGTGGTCTTGTCACTGTTCAGCGTGATGTGATAAGTGAATGGCTTGTGGGTCAGACGGGATTGGCGAGACTTGATCACGATATTCTTGGCTTCTTTGTGGCTTCGAATGGACACTCCATTGTTCAGCATGGATTCAAAGTTGTCGAAGTAGGTGATCAGTTTATCCACGGTCACGGACTCGATGCGCACGCCAGGGAAGGACAACTCTTCTGTGGTGTATCTGGGGAGGTTCTCCTTGTATCTGTAAAAGTTTGTCAAATCGTTGTTTCGATTAATAGAAGCTTGCGTTACTGTAAAAGGAGATTACGATATTAAGAAATTTCTCATCGACTATTACCGTCTAGTTATTAATAATACCGATGAAGCAATTAATACTACTAAATCACTTCTAGCGATTCATGTTGAATAGTAATACCTTTCTGACAAATTCACCATTGCTATTTAATATTTCATTATTGTTAAGCTTTTGAACTAAAATGTTGTTAATGCTGCTGTTACTTCGTTTTCTTTTCTTTTCCAATTTCCTAGTAAGGTAGCGTAAAAAGGAAGAAAACATTGGAGTATAACGTTTGGAGATATTTCACATTGCGAGTTAATTTTTCTTCGTATTTTCCTTATTGGACAGGAGATGTTCTCCATTTCTAGTTTTGCTATTTATCGATGAATTACGATTGATTATTGCTTAATTTAGAAATTTACGAAGTGTAACGCCGAAATTCTGTTAAACAAAATATCATGGTAGTCAAAGGTTCGGAATATGTAACACTTAATATTTATATATTATCATTTCTTAATAAAACATTCTTCAGTACGAATTCATATTAGCCTTCTTCATCTGTTTGATTTCTGAGATTGCTCTTGGGTCATTTTGTACTTTCCAAAGTGAGAAAGAAGAACTCGAAGAAAAGGCAATAAGACTATTATCCAGCAAGAATTAAAAAGACGAGGTCGTTGAAAATTCTTTTGCAAATGTTCCATTTTTGATCGTTTCCGATGTAGAAAATAAATCGGGAGAATGCAACTTCAACGAAAATGTCATTTAAAATGCTTGGGTGGGCTGGCAAAAGAGTATAAGTCAAATCTTGATCAAACAGGATAAATACACGTATTCTACATTACTGTCCTTTACTTATGGTTCCAATAGTATCACTCAATTTCACTTCTTTCACGCTCGTTTACCCGAGATTCTAATACTATATGTCGAAAATATAATATAATACAGTATATTATTAGGTCATCCCATAAGTTCATTTCGAATTTTATATTTTACATCAATATTTCCAACAAACCTCTAAATTTAATAAGAAAAAACGTAAGCACCCTCCCATTTCACAAGTTTTTTTCTATTTTTTCTTTTTTTTTTTTGTAAGACCATTATATCGCCGCTATAAAATTTCCTTGGATTTTCATTAAAATACTTTTCGCTTTCGGCACGAACTTATATAAGTGGTTCTCTGCAAAGCTAATAATTCTGACTTAGGGGGAGTTCCCCTAGCACCGGACGCTTAAGGTTTTTCATAAATAAATCTCTCTGCCTGTGCACACGCGACTGAAACGCGTAGAAATCTTATTTTTATTCCCTTTGTCTCCTCTAGGAGATACGCAGAATAACGGCTGGGTAGCGTTTCAATTAATGCAGATACAACTAATGTCCGATATTAGGTGCCGTCCGGCGTTAAGGAAACTCCCCCTGTATCCTTCTTTGCCCGCCCACTAGATAATAATGAATGTTCTAAAACAGTCTAAAATAGAGAAAAGCATACAAACCTGTTGTAGTAGGTGAGAATATTTTTGTACATGCTGTAGAAGACAGGGTCCCTCATGCTGGTGCAGAAGATTTGGAGGGCGGACGGTACAACTTGGTATTTGACGTTCGTTTCCAGACCGAATCCTAACACTTTCCTCAAGTTCAGGTCTATCTGTCCGTAGAATTGTTTGTTCACCGTGTCTGCGTTACCTTGGACAATGTTACCAAGAACGTTCAATCCGTTTCTTTCTTTGTAGATATTAATGTGTTTGCCTGTGTTGTCCACTACGTAGCCGAGATCTATCGAGGTTGAGATTCTATGGTGGTGGTCCTTGATCATCTATAAAATTAGAAATTCGTTCGAAGAGAACGTTGATTATCGAATAATATATGTATGTGCATATACATATATTTTTGTTTGGAAACTGTATCTCTGTGAATGATTTATTAATTTGTAAAAATAATTGTATCGATAAAGAAAAGTGATTGTTTTACTGGTTCGTAAGCATCGAAGAAATCAATTTACTTATTTTTTAATTCGTGTTGCTCTTGGTATTGTTTTATAGAGTTTCAAGTTATTCTTTTTTTCTAGCAAGTTCTAATGGCTACACCGCCGATGGAATTGCTCGTTTGATTAGAGAGATATTTATGTATGTACGTTGATATTCTGAAACGTTAAACTCGCGATTTCAAAATGAACCGTACCTTTTGCTTTTTCAAAATTTATGCAGACGTAACATTTAGTTACAGAAGGTACTGCTCTATCATTCTTTGTCTCAACTTGTCTGTTTAATAAAGGAATTTTACCTTTGGGGAAGAACGTGCAGTTGCAATTCGTATGACATTTGTGGTATAAGTCAGGACTAATTGAATAATCCAAGTGGAAATTATTCGAGAGTACTGTGAGTTGGGTTTTAAAAATTGAACATCATGATGTCAAACTTAAATGAAGATGCAAGTCGCGACAGTTGAAAAAGAAGAGAAACTAAGAATTAAACAGAGAGTATCACGAGTCAGAATTTTTGAAAGATCTAAGGTCGAACGAGCGTTACTGCAAGTCGCGAGTGTAGAATTAAATTTGTACTTAAATAAATAAAATAGCTCTAATTTAATAGCAATGTAAATGATTAATAATTATATTAGAGGATCAACCTTGTACGTAGCTTTAAATAATTAATAATTGATTCACTTTTTCAAATAATTGCTACAATTTCGCGACACTAATCTCCTATTACAGATTTCTGTTTTCCTCCCGTAATTTAGCTATTAATTCACGTTTTTATTATGCTTACCAGAATATATTTCATCATACTAAGTGGGATGAGAGCGCCGGTTTCTCTTTGAGGGAATGGAAGTCCGTTACGGAAGTGCATAGTGGGGTAATATCCAGTCGGTATGGGTCTATCTATGTCCACGTAATTAACTTCGCCCAGATCATTAGCAAGTCTTTCAAGGTGGTATCTGCAAAATGAATTTTAATCAACAACCGTTAGAATTCTCGTTAATTGTCACGATAACTGCAAAATAATTTTATCGGAATTCCTCCGTTTTCTCTTACACGTCTTTTTCTTACTTTTTGTACAAAAAAACTACGAAAAGCAAGTGAAAATGTTTAAAATTTTTCGTTCAAAAGTATCTTTCAATATTTACACGAATCAAGTTGACCCTCTATAACGTCATCTGACTTGGAAGTTACGCGTTCATTTATCCATATCACTCATAAGTCTCTTTTTTATTTGTCTACTGCTGTACTATTGCATTGTATTGTTGTACTATTGCATTGTATTGTTGTACTATTACATTATGAACAGACAATTTTTTTATAATAATTATCAACTCTTGCTTCTCCCGTGATAATGTAAAATTATAATCGACTCTAATATTTCTTCTAACGAACGAAAGAAAATCGGGTTATAGAGGGTTGAGATCATTTCGTTTAACCCTTATCTCGACAACCCTTTTGCACATTTTCTCACTTAAAATATTTGATCTTCCCGGTGAAAGATTTGAATATCCGGCCAAATCGTTGTTATTTCGCACATTTCCTAGCCGTGTTCGCTTCGAGTTTATAGAATTTCGTTATCAGAAAACTACTAAAATTGTACGATAAAGTAGACGACAATTGTGGTTATTGACACAAGGGTTAAAGCGAAGAATATAAATTGGTGAATACGAGTGTAACCTACCTTGCCAGCAATTGCTTGTGGATGAAGAAGTAGTATTCACCACGAGTTTGCGATTGCAGAGTGGGTGTCGTAGTGGGCATGAAAGGTGGGATATGGTGGTTGATCAAGAAGTACAAAGAGTTCAGACCAATGTCCTCAGTGTAATAAGTCATTCTCTGCTCCGGATCGTTTTCTCTGCTCACGTACCAACCGCTGTAGTTTGTTGGAATCACATGGTACTCGATACCACCCACGTTCTTCTTAACGTCAGCTGTTTAAATTCGGCCATTTTTAATCTCGTATTCAAAAAATCTCCGGTCATATCGATTCTTCTGCTATTTTCAAATACTACAGTTTAGCAATTTTTCAAATAACTGCATGTAACAAAACTTTTTTCTGATATTCTCTTTTCTCTGAGGAAAATACGAAAGATTTACCTACAGTAGGTTGATTTTTGTTTTTGAAACATTTGTGTGGTTAATAAATCGAATTAACTTCCCCAATTTCTATTAATTAAATTTGATCGTTTTTATAACATCGTTAAAGGGAAAAATTGGTTTCACTTTTCTCACCGTTATCTCCCATGGCGATGTTGTATGCTTTCTGCATGACTTCCTCGTTGAAGAAGAAGTGTGGCAGCACCTCGTACAATGGCGGCAGCTTGATGAATTTGGTGTCAGGACGTTGGATCACGGCAGCGCTCAATGCATACACGTACATCAGTTCGTTCACGTGGAATCTTGCCCAAACTGCAGTGTTATAGAACATCTCGAAGTCCTTAGCGCTGTACAGAACGCGGAAAAGCACAACTGTTTGTCGTTGTACTTGGGGGTCCATGCTGGAGAACACTTGACCACGTGGCAGCATGTCAGTTTTCAGAAGCTGCACGAACTCGTTCACGGCTTCCTGTGATTGATTGGTTATTTTATTAGCGGAGAAACAGGTGCACAGTGAAAATTTTCAGGTGTAATATTTTGTGTATTATCGTTATGAAAATTATCGAATTTGAACATTTTCACATTTTTTAGATGCTGAATTGAATTCTCAAATTTGTCAGATTCTCGAATCTTCGTATTCTCAAATTTGTCAATTCTCAGATTTCTTAAATTCTCAAATTTGTCAGATTCTCGAATCTTCGTATTCTCAAATTTGTCAGATTCTCGAATCTTCGTATTCTCAAATTTGTCAAATTTCCAAAACTTGGAACTCTCGGATTTCCTAAATTCTGAAAATCCTGAAACTCAAATTTTCGAATTCTTAAATTTGTCAAATTCTCAAATAATCGAACTCTCAAATCCTTTAATTATTAAATCCCGAAATTCCAGAATTCCCAGATTTACAAAATTTCAAATACATTTTTACCGTACACGTCTCGATATTATTGTATAACGTACCCTGTCATTGTAGTTGTCGACATTTGCGACGATGTCGAAGGTTCGCGACTTCTGATTGAGCTCGGAGTGGAAGATGGTTGGCTGATCGACGTGCCAGAACAGCTCGTAGATGTTCTTCTGTTTAACGAGGTAACTCTTGTCGGCGGGTAAATGCGCCGCCTGGGCCAGCAAGCAAAAGCTGGCCAAAATTAAGAAACCAGGCTTCATCATCTTGATCATCGTTGAACCGTAGTTGGCTCAAACTGAGCCACTCGACGATTTATATAGCGGTTCGATACGCTCGGATTTCGATAAACAGGTCGATAATACGTATCGCGGTCGATTTAGGGTGAGGTCGCGAGGGTGGTGAAAGTAATCGGCTTATCTTTCACTCGTTTTCGTGTTGCAATTTTCAAAAGTGATAGCGCGGGGTGTGATTCGATCTGTGTACCGGCGCAGTCTCGTAATTCGATTGGAAATATAGAGAATAATGGTAATAAATGGAAATTGATGAATGGCACACGTGATTAAATAATCTTGGAACGAATTTAATACGCGATGTTGATCGATGTTTGGTATTTAAATGCTTCGGTTGATTTAGAATGCATGCACGAAAAAATTAACAAGGTATTTATCCATAGAAATTATTATTGTTTAATCGTTGAACATTTGTTTCTTTAAGACGATTCTATTTGAAATTTTCCACGTCTTCGGGAATTTGAATTAATCGCATATGTATTTTCAAAGATTGTTACAATAATTTGCGTTAACTATTGTTACTAACACGTCTAATTCTTTTTGTCATTCACCTTTAAATCAGCAGCATTAAAATCTTATAAGGCTTCTTCGACAAATGGAATAACAAATCTTTTTGAAATTCGCAACACCGATAATTTATTTATTTTATTTATTTATATGTATATATACATATACTCTTTGTTAATTACGATAATTGATAATAACTTATAAGTATTACGAGTCGTGAATTTATCGAGTAACAGTTTTTTATGCAATAGTGATTAAATATAAAATTGATAGTAAATACAAAATGATTTAGTTTAGCAACAGTTATGAATGTACGAAAGTTTAACATGTAATATCGAATTTATTTTATTAGAATATTTATTATTGCTATTGATACTTTACAATATTAGCGGAATATTAATTGTTATTCTTGTTACATTTTTATTTTTCATATACCTTATTTTTTACTTTCACCAACAAATTTACACGTGATTTCATTATCTGCACGCTAGTTATGGCTGATGACAGCTGAAAGATATAACAAACTGATTATTTATTTCAAAGTTGTACTCTTCTTTATCAGGTCGTTCTGATAATTCTATCGTGACAAAAATATGACAAAGTTGTTTAGGTATACGCTTTACCAAAAAATTAATCGTCCATTAATTGCGAAAAAAGTTAATTGCATGCATCGAGCCTAGCTCGATGAGTTTAGAGTTAAGAAAACTTGACGAGTTACGATTTCGTTTCATCTGTTCGCCAAAATTGACGCTATTTTATTGGAGAAATATTCTGTTTTTCTTGAAAAACAGCCTTATAACGAGCGGAAACTTTGAACATGGTAAATTAATTATTTTTTTATTAATAAATACATTTTTCGAAACTGTACACGTAAAATACAATCGTGTATTGAAGATAACAAACAAATCGATTTCAGTGCATGCAAAATGTATGAAAATATCTGCAAATATGTCTTATTCGAATTAATCCGTAAAAGGGTAGGAGGTATAAAAAAGAAAAACCTTCCTTCATAATTTTTTCAAGACGAAAGAAAGAAGTGAACTTTTTGAAGTCATGTCGAATTCATTTTGTCTTTTTTAAATGGAACGTAATATGTTTGTTTTATAACATCACAGAATTTACGATGTATAAAAAAGAACCAATTGAATGAACTGCTTTTAAGATCTGTTTGACTTCAAAATTCCACATGAAAAATTAACGTTATTATCAAATATTCATTTCGTTACTTTATACCTCATTTCTTACCTTTTCATGAATGTACCTACTGTCATGTGTATTCATATTTATTATTTATTCATTTGCTTATTTTTATATGTATGTAATACGTAACACACGCGAGTTGTATTTCTTCATAAACCTTATCATAAACCTCAATTGTAATTTTAATACACATAAACAATTTAATTCAGTTACATTTAATACACATACAAAGTCAGGAATTGTTGAACATACACTACCGGCCAAAAGTTTAAAATCACTTCCCACTTTTCATCAATATTAAATCTGCTGCTAAGTTTTTATAGATTTCAAGTTTATCTCAATTCTACTTTTATCAATATATCTCATATCAATTGATTCGAATAATAAAAAATTCTCAAAGTCGCTGACTTTTTTCTGGAAATTTTTATGTAAATTGCAATGCTCGGTGATTCGAAACTTTTGGCCGGTAGTGTATATTGGAAGAATATTTCAATGTTTATTACTTGAACATTTTTTTAACATGATCTGATTCGCTCAGAATTTAAATAAATATTAGATGAACGAAGAAAATTTTGTGGAAGCACCGAATTATATTGCAAATAAATAACACTTATTTGTAAGTGAAAATACAGAGTAGATGAAGATGCTTCTAGGAAAAAATTAAATTGAAAGTATGAAGTAACATTTGTTGATGTGAGCTTTCGTTTTTCGCTATTTTTAAGAGTTATTCAAAATTCGGAACGATTTTCTGGAAGTTTTAACTCTCTCTTTCGATGTTCATGATAAAATGTTTTTTGTGCCTCGAAAACAACAGTTGTTAATATTATTGAAACTATGCAAAGAGGGTCGTGTTTACCATAAGGCGCATTAGGTGCAATCTGGTGCCACATTTTATAACCTTAATCCTCGCAAACAACAATGTGTAAAACAGCCTAGTTATAGTTGCAAAATAAAGTATTCATTTTTAAATGTTAAATTCATAATGTAAAAGCGAATGTACGCTGAAAATTGGAACGGCAAATTTATTTAAGACTTGTCCTTTCGAAGCTTCGTAATGGTGTTGCGCCTAGGACCTCCGAAAGCATAAATGTGACCCTGAATGAAAAGAACTATCAAGAGATAAATGCATGAATTAATTGAGAGAAGTACGTAAAAAGGGAAATACATGAAATGTGAAAAACATATTTACGTGTAGATTCATCTTTCGAGGACAGCCAGTGTGGCACGTGAATGTTGATAAGTTTTCAATTTCCGCTAATCAACATCAATGATTCGAAAAAGAAATCTGCGATTCTCCATTGCTTTGCTCACCTTTGACATTGCAATCTGTTTTAACGAATCATGCAGTCAGAGTGTGCTGTTTCGTCTGAGTTTCACGTAAAAAAAAAGTTTCTTCTTCATCGTTTTTATAAGTATTTACGCAATTATTGGCGAATACGTGGTCATTCTGCATCGTTTTACTTGTTAGCAGCAGATTTGTCGAGTTTCTAAAAATAAAGTTCGAAATTGTACAGAAAATAGAATGTTTTTAAGTTTATTGTTAATGTTGACAAAACGTGATAACCTGTTTGAAAATGTGTTTAGTTATAATTATGAAATTTTGGAAACATGATAAATATTGTCAACACGTCTTCTAATCACCGAGCGTGCAAAGATTATAAACGTACAGCACGGATCCTTGATTTAGGTACGTAATTATAGCTCTGAAGATGATCTAAAAGAACCGATAAGATTCAATAGCATAATTGCCTGACCCTCGAACAATTCATGTTTAAAGTAAGCAATCGTGATAATCAAATCTTGTCATAATTGTTACAATCCTTTAATATAAATTTGTTTCAACAATTCTTTTGTACTTTCTTTTCTTTTTAGGCATGCTGGTACATAAGTGGCTCGCTTCCGCTGATCGCTTTGTTCATTCTCTCGTATAACATGTCGCTGGGCATCATGTCTGGCATCGTGAAGATAGACTCTGAGCTGTGACGCTCGATGTTGTTGCTTCCAGGACGGACTGGAGAAGTGAAAAAGGTTGATTGTTAGATAATTGTTAACTTCATTCCTCGTGGCGTAGTTTTGTCAATGCGAAAAACGAAGATGCGTCCCCTTTCGAGGAAAAGAGATGTATAGTCGGTGGAAGAAATGTAGCGAGGTCGTAAATTGAAGCATTAAGTAGTGACACTGAATGATACAGTGACATTCAAGATTCATTTTACGCTTGTCGATTGGGACTGAATCGAAGCTACGGTATAGTCGGTGGAAGCGATATAGCGAGGTCGTAAAATCAATCAGGTGTCAAAATACACGTAATCCGAATACCAAATGAGGATCGTTCGACGTCAACTTGGAATTGGTTCTTCCATTGCAGTATATTTAAAAAATTTGTCTGCATCTTAATCGTTCACCGTCGCAGGTTAATTTTTACCAATACGGAAATTACTATTGAGCAGGAAGCAACGGAGGCTAAATACCGTATACCTTAAACGAAAGATTGTAAAAAGAAATTTTAGATATCAATTCACAAGTGACAAACGACTCTGGATGCTGCTACATCAGTCGATGTCGTCGTTTAATACTTCAATTAACGACCTCGCTATTTCGCTTCCGCTGACTATACACTTCGTGCGACTCTGACTGAGACTTCTGTCGATTTGCACATCGATATGTTCGAACATGCATGCTTTGACGTCTGACCAATCATATGACCTCGCTATATTTCTTCCACTGACTATACTGTGACGCTTTGCTGTGAGAGAAGAGCGTGTAGAAGGAAATTGGAAAGAGGGAATGTGTTTTGTCAATAAGGCAACCTATTCTATGTAGAGTCCAAATGTTTCTCCTTTTTAAAAGTATGCATAAAGAAAGAAATGTTACGATTTGGACAACATAATTTTAAAGGGTATATTACTGTTACATTATTGTATTTCACGTCTAAACAGATGAGAAGTTCATTCACACTCGACACACAGAAAGTTCATTCGCTTCAGCACTTTTCAATATAACCGTGGAATCGTAGTTATCGGCGTTAGCTCTATCATTGGCCAAGCTTTCAGGGTGTAGACGTTCGTGTGAATAAAATTTCAATCGCGTAAAGCTTCGCGTAATAGAAATGCTGATAATTATTATCTGAAGATATGTTGCTTTTACTTTTTGTTAAAATAGCTTAAGATTACAAGGTACATTACCCTCTACGAGTCTAATTTTATTTCTAGTTATTATTTGTTGAATTTTACCTCTAAAAAGAAGCCAATAATTGAGGTAATGTAGTAGTAAGGTAT